TGATATACCAAGAGCTCTCAAAATAAGAGTATATAAGACGGTCCTGCAGCCAGTTGTTATATATGGAACCGAGTGCTGGACACTCACACTCAACAAAGAGGGGCGATTAAACAGGTGGGAATGAAAAATCCTTTGTAGATTTTATGGCCCAACCAAAGAATTAAATCTTTGGGGTATGAAGACAAATGGCAAGCTGAAGAAGCTATATAATGTCCCAGATATTATACCCAACATGAAGAGAGGAAGGATATGATGGTTGGATCATGGGCAAAGAATGGAACATAGCAGGCTCCTTAAAAAGATGATGGAGAGACATCCGGGTGGAAGAAGGAAAAGAAGCAGGCCTATATTTCATTGGCTGGAAGATGTTGAAAATGATCTAAGGAGCCTGGGTGTAGGCAGACGGAGAAGAGCGGCCGAAGATAGTTCGGTTTGGAGGAAGATAGTAGAGGAGGCCAAGGTTCTACAAGAACCTTAGCACCATCGGGAAGATGATGATGATCCAAGAGTGTACAGTGGTAGATTAAAAGTTTCTTTATAAAGTAGTAGACAATCCTATGGACGTGGTAATACTGTTTACTTCCACAAATTTCTGCAACATGCATAACAAACCATCGAATGAATGAATTAAATACTTTAATTTTCTGGTAAAAAGAAATTTGATTTTTCTCAATAAAATCCAATCTACATTTATAGCCACTTTTGCCTTTTCCAGTTTTAAATCCAGATGTATTTTAAACAGAATGTGATTATTTTATATGATTCCTAAATATTTATATTCGTTAACAACTTCAAGATTGTCATTACCTAAGAGCCATTTTTCATTTTTAGCTTTCTTACCGCCATTTATAAAGAAAACTATTTTCTGAGAAGGAATTAGTCGAGGGTGCGGTCAAAAAAATAAAAAAAATTAAAATATATAAATAATTTTAATTTTTGCCGACGTTTCGACCCACTTTGCAGGTCGTCTTCAGGGCGTTGGATGTGGCACTGCGGGAGGCGGTTGAAACACTGAAGAATAATGTGATCAGTAAAAATAAAAATGACAAGGATGTATATGGAATTACAACATAGTGTTTATGTTGTTTATTTTATATATGGAATTAACACATAGTGTTTCAACCGCCTCCCGCAGTGCCACATCCAACGCCCTGAAGACGACCTGCAAAGTGGGTCGAAACGTCGGCAAAAATTAAAATTATTTATATATTTTAATTTTTTTTATTTTTTTGACCGCACCCTCGACTAATTCCTTCTCATATCATATCAACGGTCAACCAACTCTACATCATTATGAAAACTATTTTCGATTTATTCAGATTAATTAATTATAAAGATTTGGGGTTCTCAGCTATTAATGCTAATATTAAAAAAATATATTTAAAACTTTTAAAATCTGAGTAAACTTCATGAAATTAATCAGTCTAGAATATTCATAAAAGGGCCAATGCCTCCCACTTTTAGCTATATTTCCACTAATATATATATCCTACATTGATTTCTTTGCTGCATTTTACTAAAATTCTATAATTTTGTGCTTTTTTGTTTTTTGAGATTCAAAAGATATAAAGGCTTTTATATATATATATATATTTAAGATATTAAGAGATTTTTTTTTTTATTGAAGTGAAAGCATACTTCTGCATAAATCAGCTGCCTCGTCAAATATACCATTTTGAAAATTAAAAAATAAAAAATCTGTACCAATGCAACCCATGAAGGTTCTTGGATTCAGTACTTTGTAAGAAAATACTGTTTGTTATTAAATGATTGTGCAAGGAGGTGATTTTACCGAGATCACGCTCAACCATCAGGTATTCTTCCTTAATTACTTTATAAGTAAGGGTACCCACTTTATAGAGGCTGGGTTCGCCCCCGGAAGGAGTCCTGCCCCACGGACGATCCATGGTAGAATGAATATTTTATCTGCCATCAGCCGAATTCGATCCTGGGACCTTGAGCATCCCTATAGGCATAATATATAATATTCCTATATAAATAATATATAATATTCCTATATTCATAATATATATTATTCTTATATTCATAATATACATTTCTCTATACATTATTCATGTAATACATATATATGTAATATACATAATCCCTACCCCTGAGCTACCCCATTTCCAGCAATATATTATATGTATTATAATTACTTACGCCAATAAAGACAGAAATGCTATTGTTTTATGTGGGATCAAGGACTTTAACATCACAAGCCTTCCATTCATGTAATTTATATATACTTATTTCTTTATTAGAATGTGACCTCTCGTATATGTTTCATATATATACATTTTATAGGATGTACTTAATGATATTTGATAGATATTTTAATTTTTAGCAATGTTTATAACTAATTATAAAATCCGATGAATAGGCACCTATATTGGCTCGCCAGACAGAAGAAAACCGCGGGTAAAATAAAATACATTTGGTTTGCTGCTGGCAGACCAAGGTGCCGAAAAGACGACGGCCATCAGGTGCTCTTCATCGACCAGGCTAAGAACTTAGATGTCTTCGGCTGACGGCTCGAATTTAGTCCACCTTCCAGCATCGATCAACATTTGGCACTTACACCGGACTTTCATCGGCAATCTTACCATTGTTGCGCACTGAATCATTTATTTTCTGACTTATTTTGTTTTATTATTTCATCACGTTTAATTTATCTAATCTATTACAGCGTCTTCCCATCAAATATCGATTGTAGTCTCCTAAATCCTACTCATGTCTAGTGTCCTAACCACCTATCACGTCAATTCCTAATAGCTCTGGAGCCAGTGCCCAAAAATCGACCTGATCGCAGGCGAAGGTTTGATTGTAAATTACGAAAGCGTATGTTATTCTGAGTAAAAAAAAATCTTGTCTGCCGTTCCAGAGCCGCTGCTTTAAAAAATGGCGGCTGATTTAAAGAATATTAGGCCAGTGATTTGAGGATCGAAACGGGAAATCCATTGCGAAAAATGTGAGAAAAGTTTTTATTTTTTTAACTTGCATAAGCACCTACTCCTTTCTCAATCCGAATGATTGTGAAATATATCTAAGAGAAATATCTGAGCACCACCAGAGACTACCTCAATTTATTAAGGTTATTTTAATTTCTCATATATATGTACAATTTACTTGTTCTTTTCTTTCTCTTTTCTGTATTTTTGTCGTAAGTCAACTTTCATTGTAAATATACAACTTAATTGTAACCACACAGACATATAATCTGTATTCATATTTTGTTCTTAAGGGACAACAGTCCCAGAATAATAAAACATTTTTTTCATTTCATATATGGGTTTAGACATGTAAAAAACAAAATTGCTAACGCGGGCTACCAAGGGAAAACTTGTTACAGCCAAAAAAGTCAGATTTTTCGATATTTTTTGGGTTTTTCACCTATAACTCCTAAACAATGCATCAAAGCGAAAAATGTATTCTTTAATAAATTCAAGAACGTTAAATTTTGCGTCAAACGAGTACCTAAACTTTAAAATTTGGTTACGCGGTAAGGTATAAAACCACGGTCAACCAACGCTGAACTTTACCAAATTTGTCAAAAACTGAGACAAATTACTATAAATGGCCCTGTAACTTGGAAATGAGTTCCATAAGAGGAAAAAACCATAGAATCAAAGTTGTAGAGCATCAAACTTCCCTCCCTCAGAGTTTTAAGATGCGTTAGCAAAAATCCTAGAAGATCTAAATCGGATCAGCGACTGGGCATACATCAATGGATTAAGATTAAAGCAGGCCATTGCCATTTGTTCCAAACCCCTCCCCAAATCCAATACCAACATTCCTATTCTGTGTCTAAATAAGCAGAATCCTCAGTTAAAAAAACCTAGGCATTTTCATTGACAAACCCTCTCCTGGAATCACCATATTGGCCACATTTCTCGGCGGTCAATTTGTACCCTTAAACTATTCCATCGCTTCCGCCATCTCCTTCCTATACCCACACGTAGACTTCTAGTGTCCTCCCTCATCTTCCCCCACTCCTCTCTGTGGTACTCGGGGACAGACTAAAAAGAATTATGAATAGCTTAGTAAAATTTGTCGAAGGGGCCCCGAGACGTTCCCGTGTTTCTCACTACTATTCCCAGTTAGGGTGGCTCTTCCCCTCCTTCCTTGGCACATTCCTTTATCAAATAATTAACAACCATCGACCGTCATATGTATAAAATCTCCTCCAATTTAAATCATCTGTCCACTCCCTCTCCACAATATCTCGGCCTTCTGACCTTTACACCCCTTTCCACAGATTTGCTTCATTTCAACATTTCTTTATTTTCCGCTCCTCCACCTTTTGGAATTCCATCCCACTTAAAATCCACCATGCACCATCCTTATCCACATTCAAAACCATCTTATTCCAATCCCTCTTCACAATCCAATCAGACGCTGGTTAATTATGTATCATGCAACAAGGATAATTTTTTTTGTATATTTTTTCATACACCACTATTTTATTTTATCTTTTGTTTATTATTTGTGAACGGGAAATATTAAGTATCACTTTTGGCATAGCACTGTGAGGTGGTGCATAAAAAATAAGAGATTGTTTGTTGTTTTTATTCATTTTTCTTTTTTATATCTACAAGAATTTGTATATTTCAGACTTATTTCATTTCTTACATTCCTCAATTTGTATACATATATATCTTTCTATTATATATATATATACATGTAATTCTTTTTTTTTCCCTTTTCTTTTTGATATTTTTCTAGTAAAATTATAAATATAGTTGAGAAGATTTCATTTTATTTTTTAGTAATTTACATACAATTATTTAAGTTGTTATAGATATTGATTAAATCTTTATTGATTTAGTTTTTGGCCAGATGTGTATTTTTTTTTCTTTTGTAACTACATTATTGTTATTCTAAGGGGACATCGTCCCAGAATAAAGTTTATTTTCTTTTTCTTTCTCTTTCTCTCTCTCTCTCTCTCTCTCTCTCTCTCTCTGTATATATATATATATACACACACACACTACTAAAACTACCCTATCTACGGTAGGTAGAAAGAAGTCTATAAAATGGTTGTTTATACGTTTAATTCAAGTGTTGTTTTGTAAACTCTCAAAAAGTTTTTTATTACCCAGAAAGTAGATATTTATCTTGAGGTTACCTGAGGAAATTCGAATCGCGAAGGAGAGGCATGTCAATATTGCGTTTGTTTCACCTCTATTATTCGCGCTGAAATTTCTTGTCATTTACGTATAATCCAATTCAAATGACACGATTTCGAAATATCATGTGCAAGAACACATGATTCAATTATGCATTGACAAACTGAGTTTTTAGAAATTGTAGTTTAAACAAGAAGATCTAGGTTATAGTTGTAGTTTAGATTTAGTTAAGTAGAAGCCACAGATATGTCACATTGCCGGTGCCGCACCATCAACTTGGCGGTGGTCTCCGTGGAGAAGCTGAAGCAGATGGAGAGCAAGGTGCAGAAGGTTCCCGTCAAGAAGAAGGATTACGACACGTTGAGATGTCCACCGTACCCTCCCATGCCGGCCCCGCCGGGCCCTGTGTCCACCAAGAAGATCATGGTATTTATTGTATTTCACTTCATTACATGTTTATAGAGAATCGGGGTGAGATAATGCATCAACACTCAGCGCATCATTGTTTCGTAAAATATAAACATGTCTCGTTGCATAAACTCTAAAAGCCGATTTTCCAAAATTAGCTATGAGAGATACCTAACGGTGGAATATAGCCTGGTATAAAGCGATAAGTGTATTATAGCTCGACCAAATAGTTGGCACCCCGAGAGCGAACTCCTGCTGGCCTAAGTTGAAACTAACATTTTTTCAAAACAAAACAATTTGAGAGGTTAAGCAGTGAAAACAAGCGGATAAAATGTATATATATATATATATATATATATATATATATATATATATATATATATATATATATATATATATATATAGCATATAAACCATTTTAAAAAAATAGCAAAGTTGATCGTGTCGGATCTGAAATGAAAAATCAAATATTTGAGTATAAAATCGAATATTTTCTCTTACACTAATTCTATTTAAGTTTTCTTTCATTGTGTATTTTACACTGAACCAAAATAAAATAATTTGAAAGGTTGTGCAGCGAAAACAAGCAGATAACATTTTTAATATATATGTATATATATATATATATATATACATCATATATAACATTTTAAAAAATTAGCAAAGTTGATCATGTAGGTGATAAAAAGAAAAATTGAATAAGAATTGTTCCACATCCATTGAATATTTTACACTGAACCAGAATAAATTAATTCGAGAGGCTGTGCAGTGAAAACAAGGACGACACTGAGGAACAAAGCTCCACGTTTTGTGACAGCGATGAGTAGGCGTGGCTTTGGAAGCTGAGTAGTAGAGGAGTCAGCCTCGAAACCGAAGCTGAGCCTTGCTCCGCCAATCAACTGCTCAGCTTCTGTTGGGCGCCTCCCATCGAAGACCTCTGGTCCGGTTTTGGAAGCTGAGTTTAGAGGAGTCAGCCTCGAAACCGAAGCTGAGCCTTGCTCCGCCAATCAACTGCTCAGCTTCTGTTGGGCGCCTCCCATCGAAGACCTCTGGTCCGGTTTTGGAAGCTGAGTTTAGAGGAGTCAGCCTCGAAACCGAAGCTGAGCCTTGCTCCGCCAATCAACTGCTCAGCTTCTGTTGGGCGCCTCCCATCGAAGACCTCTGGTCCGGTTTTTGAAGCTGAGTAGTAGAGGAGTCAGCCTCGAAACCGAAGCTGAGCCTTGCTCCGCCAATCAACTGCTCAGCTTCTGTTGGGCGCCTCCCATCGAAGACCTCTGGTCCGGTTTTGGAAGCTGAGTAGTAGAGGAGTCAGCCTCGAAACCGAAGCTGAGCCTTGCTCCGCCAATCAACTGCTCAGCTTCTGTTGGGCGCCTCCCATCGAAGACCTCTGGTCCGGTTTTGGAAGCTGAGTTTAGAGGAGTCAGCCTCGAAACCGAAGCTGAGCCTTGCTCCGCCAATCAACTGCTCAGCTTCTGTTGGGCGCCTCCCATCGAAGACCTCTGGTCCGGTTTTGGAAGCTGAGTTTAGAGGAGTCAGCCTCGAAACCGAAGCTGAGCCTTGCTCCGCCAATCAACTGCTCAGCTTCTGTTGGGCGCCTCCCATCGAAGACCTCTGGTCCGGTTTTTGAAGCTGAGTAGTAGAGGAGTCAGCCTCGAAACCGAAGCTGAGCCTTGCTCCGCCAATCAACTGCTCAGCTTCTGTTGGGCGCCTCCCATCGAAGACCTCTGGTCCGGTTTTGGAAGCTGAGTTTAGAGGAGTCAGCCTCGAAACCGAAGCTGAGCCTTGCTCCGCCAATCAACTGCTCAGCTTCTGTTGGGCGCCTCCCATCGAAGACCTCTGGTCCGGTTTTGGAAGCTGAGTTTAGAGGAGTCAGCCTCGAAACCGAAGCTGAGCCTTGCTCCACCAATCAACTGCTCAGCTTCTGTTGGGCGCCTCCCATCGAAGACCTCTGGTCCGGTTTTGGAAGCTGAGTTTAGAGGAGTCAGCCTCGAAACCGAAGCTGAGCCTTGCTCCGCCAATCAACTGCTCAGCTTCTGTTGGGCGCCTCCCATCGAAGACCTCTGGTCCGGTTTTGGAAGCTGAGTTTAGAGGAGTCAGCCTCGAAACCGAAGCTGAGCCTTGCTCCGCCAATCAACTGCTCAGCTTCTGTTGGGCGCCTCCCATCGAAGACCTCTGATCCGGTTTTGGAAGCTGAGTTTAGAGGAGTCAGCCTCGAAACCGAAGCTGAGCCTTGCTCCGCCAATCAACTGCTCAGCTTCTGTTGGGCGCCTCCCATCGAAGACCTCTGGTCCGGTTTTGGAAGCTGAGTTTAGAGGAGTCAGCCTCGAAACCGAAGCTGAGCCTTGCTCCGCCAATCAACTGCTCAGCTTCTGTTGGGCGCCTCCCATCGAAGACCTCTGGTCCGGTTTTGGAAGCTGAGTTTAGAGGAGTCAGCCTCGAAACCGAAGCTGAGCCTTGCTCCGCCAATCAACTGCTCAGCTTTTGTTGGGCGCCTCCCATCGAAGACCTCTGGTCCGGTTTTGGAAGCTGAGTTTAGAGGAGTCAGCCTCGAAACCGAAGCTGAGCCTTGCTCCGCCAATCAACTGCTCAGCTTCTGTTGGGCGCCTCCCATCGAAGACCTCTGGTCCGGTTTTGGAAGCTGAGTTTAGAGGAGTCAGCCTCGAAACCGAAGCTGAGCCTTGCTCCGCCAATCAACTGCTCAGCTTCTGTTGGGCGCCTCCCATCGAAGACCTCTGATCCGGTTTTGGAAGCTGAGTTTAGAGGAGTCAGCCTCGAAACCGAAGCTGAGCCTTGCTCCGCCAATCAACTGCTCAGCTTCTGTTGGGCGCCTCCCATCGAAGACCTCTGGTCCGGTTTTGGAAGCTGAGTTTAGAGGAGTCAGCCTCGAAACCGAAGCTGAGCCTTGCTCCGCCAATCAACTGCTCAGCTTCTGTTGGGCGCCTCCCATCGAAGACCTCTGGTCCGGTTTTGGAAGCTGAGTTTAGAGGAGTCAGCCTCGAAACCGAAGCTGAGCCTTGCTCCGCCAATCAACTGCTCAGCTTCTGTTGGGCGCCTCCCATCGAAGACCTCTGGTCCGGTTTTGGAAGCTGAGTAGTAGAGGAGTCAGCCTCGAAACCGAAGCTGAGCCTTGCTCCGCCAATCAACTGCTCAGCTTCTGTTGGGCGCCTCCCATCGAAGACCTCTGGTCCGGTTTTGGAAGCTGAGTTTAGAGGAGTCAGCCTCGAAACCGAAGCTGAGCCTTGCTCCGCCAATCAACTGCTCAGCTTCTGTTGGGCGCCTCCCATCGAAGACCTCTGGTCCGGTTTTGGAAGCTGAGTTTAGAGGAGTCAGCCTCGAAACCGAAGCTGAGCCTTGCTCCGCCAATCAACTGCTCAGCTTCTGTTGGGCGCTTCCCATCGAAGACCTCTGGTCCGGTTTTGGAAGCTGAGTTTAGAGGAGTCAGCCTCGAAACCGAAGCTGAGCCTTTCTCCGCCAATCAACTGCTCAGCTTCTGTTGGGCGCCTCCCATCGAAGACCTCTGGTCCGGTTTTGGAAGCCGGCTCAGCTCAGCTTAAAGTAACAATTCTCATAAGCATTGAGGTTAGCTTGTCCCACTTGAAACTGTCGCTCCAATCGAAGCGCCCAGCACCAAGGTACAGCTATCGCGGTAATTTTACTCGCTCAAAAACTATTTGTTTGGGCTGGACCAGATTTTCGTTGGCATGTAGTTCTCTCACTTTAGAGGTATAGAAATTGATTATTGAGGATTTTAAAATTGTCTATCTCTATTATCAGCAATGCTCCCTATTTCTAGAGTCGCCGGAGATAGTATAACCCTGTGGTCATAGTATAACCTCCCTATTCATATCACAATTCAGGCCTTCCGCAAAGTTCCTAATGGGCCTTATTCAAGGTCAGTAAAACTACCAGGTTCGCTCACTCAGAAATGCGTGGTGGGGGAACTTGAAACGTGACGTAAGGAATAGACTGTCTACCTAGGAATAGACCTACCTATTACTCTTTCAAGCCTATCAATGAAGGCTTATTTCAACATTATTGTGCTTTTTTTTTGTTTTCTTGTTTAATTTATTGAGAAGAATACTTTTCTGTGTTTTTGACGTTTGATTGAAGATAATTTCAAGTAGATAAATAAATAAATACAGTTATCAATCTAGAATAAAATGCTATGAAAATTACAAGCCAGGCCTGAAACGAATAGAACGAAATTGATATTAAAAATTATTTATAAATTCTTTATTTAAAATCTCTGTAAATAATATATAAATATATTACATAAATAGAAAAAATGTTTGTGTAATTTTGTTTGTAGATCTCGTGGGTATTTCTTTTAATATTATAACGGTATTATAATAATATTATAAGGGTGAAGATCTTTGTCAGGATTTGCAGTACAAATTTCTTTAAATAAAGAAATTTAATTTAAAAAATAAACAATTATTGCAAATCCTGATAATTTATTTTCACCTTATAATCTTAACAGTCAGCTACTTGTCCGTCTCTAAAATAATATTATAACGGCTATTTATTTTTTATTTTTATTAACATGTTACAGAGAATTCGTTTGTTCTTACAAGTATTTCTTGTATTTCTCATAATAACATAATTATTAATAGAATCCTCTAGAATGCCAGGTATAAAATGCGCATTTGCATCTTGCAACAATAATCTAATTGACACAAAGAAGATGGGAAAGAAAATTTCATTTCATACTTTTCCAAAGGACACTCGAAGAAAAGATTGGATTTTAAAATGCAAATATAAAAATATTGTAAAAAAACAAAACAAATATTGTAAAGAAATTTACTATCTTTTTCTTAGGAAACAAAATGTAGAAATTAATGAAGAAAGCCTTTCTTTCAGCAACGGGTATTTAATAGAATCAAAATTTTAAATATCCAATTTAATAGGATTAAATACCCAATGATTTTTACAACAATAACAAAACATAAAATCAAAGCCAAAAGACTTGAAAAAAATCACTACATAGGATTACTTATGACATGAAAATGTAATATTTA